GGACCCACCGTGGATGCACCCGGCTGAGGGTGTGTTAGACCGTGAGGCCATCCAGGGTGTCCAGCGCCAGTGCCTGAGGAACTGGGCCAGACCATGTGCCCAGATGAGGAGCTGCTTCCTCCTCCTTGTCCCTCACACTGTCCTCGGTAACCTCTGCCACCACTCAGGGGAGACACTAACCTCCATGCCAAGAGTCTGACTCTCAAGAAAGACTCAGATGGCGCCCATAGGCCATCACCCATCTCACCCCACCCTCAGAGAAGGGAAAGGATGCCAGAGGGAAAGTGGCAGCGCCCAGAGTCCTTCTTGGCAGCCCCTCCCCTCAGCTTGTCGTGAATTCAGCTTCCATGATCCCTGCTCTGGGTTTGCCACCCCACGGAGAACAGAGGCCCAGGGTTTCCCTCCTGTGTTCATCCGGGACTTTGGGGAGGGTGACGGTGAGTTTTATGTCCCCCTGGGCTCACAAAGGCCACATTCCTATTGGCAAAGATCTCAAAACACAAATAAATATGGAGCCCAATAAAAAGCAAGTAAGAGCTCTAAATGCCACCTGCTTTACACACACAGCCAAATCCTAATCAGTTTAACAGCAGGCAGGTGCGCCCGCAGGGGGACTCGGCCTCCCTTTGGCAGGATCCTCGTGGCCTGGGGAAGGTTTCTAAGCCGCTCAGAGTGTCAGCCCCTGAGCAACACAGGAGGAGGCCAAAAGGTAAAATCTTCTTTGCACTTTTGACTTTGCTGAAAGAATGATGCTGAAAAAGCCCTATTAATTTGGAGCTCTAATCCAAGATAGAGTCATCCTGGGTAAATCAATAAACTATATAAGCGGAATAAATGTCAGAAGCGCTTCTCACTGGAGACCTGCCTTCTCTGCTGGGAACAGAGTTTCTTACTACTAAACTGAGTGAATGGAGAATATTTGGCCGGGATGCTCATCTTCAGAATCCTCTTGAATGCGCCGAGAGGGAGGGAGCCCACCAGGACCCCCAGACACCCCTCTGGTGCTTCGCCGGCACACAGTTGCCTGCCCCAGCTCCCACGTCATCCATCCTTCCTGCCGCTGTCTCCGAGCCGCTTTCCTGGACGGACCTGCTTACTCTGCCTCTGAGTCTCACCTGCGGGGACACAGCGTGTGAAGCGGGGATGGCACTGAACGCCGGCAGCTCATTAACTTGTGATGAGATTTTCAAATTTATCACCCAGTTTTGGTCATTCCTCTTTGGCCTTTCTGTCCGCTGGCCTCATCGTGGCTGATAAGAAAGCTCTAGACCCTCATTCCAGGTCCCCGGCTGTGCCCTCATTATCATCACCCCCACAACGGGGAGGTGGGGCAACCTTGAGAACTGTGGGGTCCAGTAAGGTCATGGGCGCTTTTCCCTGCAGATGTAAGGTCTGGCCCGGTCACCAGCTGTGTCCTTGGGCGGGCCGGTCACACGCAGTTGCCAAGAGTGCTGTTGCCAGTGACTAACTTCAGCCGAAATGAGGTTTTATTTTCTGTGCCGTCACAGACATCGTGCATCCAGACAGAAGCAGTTTCTGAAAGTCAAATACTTGTGCTGTCCAATGAGTCTTTGATAATTTTTCTGCCACTCCAAGGAACCCTTCACCTAAGTTATCTGCTGGTTGTGAGGCCCCCCGGTAATTAGCAATGTTTGTGCCACCCCAGGAGGGAATGGCTGGCGCTGCTGATGGTCAGGGAGGCTGCCTGGGGGCTGGTGGAAGGCCCTGGAAGGGGCTGAGGAGTTGTTGAGCCATTTTCAGATTTCTAAAATACTACTTCCATCTCTGCTTGCTTGTTCTGTTATATATTAAAATCCAATTTTCCTATTTTCCAAAAGTAATAATAAAATTAAAATCCTGTAAAAACTCTACCATGTTTTAGAAAATAGGCAAATCTGATTTTAGTATTATCTTTTTTGCAGTACCATAAAAATAACCATTAAAAATGTCAAAGGTGTGCACGCTTGTCATCCTGAACTCCCTAGAGGATGAATTTCATTCTCGCAGGTGCACCCACGCCGTTGGTAAGGTGAACCAAAAATGCAACCTTTTTTAATGAATTATTAAGCCACAGACTTTTTTTCTCAATTCTCACATTAGCTTCTCAATTTCCATGTATACAACTCATTAGGATTTAACCATTTCCTGTTGGTTGAATTAAAATTCTGGCGACAGACATGTGGATTTTCCCTGGAACGACCCCACCTCTCCAGTCAGAACCGATGCAACATCAGATTATTTCCACACAACAGCGGCGCCACTGGCCACAGCCAATCTGCAAAAGTAGTTCAGCTGGTGGCAATTTTTTTTCCTTCCCATTATGTTTATTGAGGTAAAGCTGGTTTCCATCCTTGTATTTATTTTAGGGGTTATAGATTCAAGACTCGCGACTGTATGTTTTCATGCCCTGCCAACCACCAGTGCCCTCATGCTCCCCCACCTGGCTCTGCTGGGCCCCTTACTCCCACCCCTACCCACCACCCTCCACTTCTGATGACCTCAGTTTTGCAGTCAGAGGTCAAGGGTTGGTTATTGCTCTGGTTTTGTCTGACCCTTTGTTTTCTTTCTCTGTTTTCCACATGTCCCAGGGTTACTTATCTTTCTCCTGAGCTATTTCACTTAGCACCATCCCCTCTGGTTCCATCCATCTTGACGCAAATGGAAGCGCTCATCTTCATGGCTGAGTAGTATTCCATGGTGGGTGTGAACAACGCATCACTTCTTCCTAAACAAGCCTGTGTCTATTCAGGATGACACAGGACACAAAGCACCAGCATGCACTAGTGGTGTTTCCTGTGTTGCTTGGAGCTAGCGGTCTTTGCTGACTATTTCTGTCTCTTGACCCTCCAGTGGCTCTGGGACTGTGTAATGAGGGGAAGTGGGAGGAAAGGACATGGCAGCCTCAGCTCAGACGCCGGCTGTGCCTCACTAATCACTCAGTCATCGCAGGCCTGGGCGGATGGCGCGCTCTGCTCTCTCACTCTCAGGTTCGTTATTAGTCCCAGACACCAGCTTTCCGTCTAGTAAGCGCCGTTCCATTATTGTAGCCTAGTGAAGGGTGGCGTGCCACACTGTCGTGGCTACAGCATGCGTTACAGAAGGGAAATCCAGGTAGGACAGTGTTTTTAATAATTAGCAGCAGTCACTCCAAAACTATGCCAATATTCCTTGGAATTGAAAGTCAACAGCTGCGGGGCCCCTTGCGGCCTTTATTTACTCTCTGACGCTCCAGAGTTGGTTTGTTCTCATGGACTGATGCTTGGACTGGGGGTGCCTCCAGTGACTGCAGAGACGTGGCTTTATTTGGGGACCAGCCAGTGGCTGCAGGTGTTTTGCGTGGCTCTGCTGTCTGATGGCAAGCAGTCCGTTTTCCACGTGCAATCATGCTTTGGAAATACAGGGTGTAACTATGGTCATGAACCTGCTTAATCGGGCCTTACACCTTGTGGGACAGCTTCATAGAGTGTCTCTGGCATGACTCTACCACGTGGGCTTTTCACTCCCACACAGCGACCGGCTCTGTCCAGTCGGGCCTCTGAGTGTTCTCCATGCGAACGCTGCTCCTGGCTGCCCTCCCTCTCCCAGATGCCTGTGCCTGAAGTTCATCATTTCCTTGTGTGCTTTCTGATATGCAGGTGACATAAAGTTCTTGGTTTTCTGTTAACCAATATTTTTATAGCTTTGTTGCTTTGTGAGGCTACCTCTTACTCTCTGCTTCACAAACTAGAAAATTGGAATTTGAGATAAACTCGGGGACAAGTCTATAATCTCCCTTTGTTCTTGCCTACCTCACAGGACCATTGTGAGAATTAAATTCCTCTAGATTAGTTTTGACTGCTATAAAGGGGGATTGCACAGAAGTTTCAAGGATTAAGATAGTGTGTTATCTCCTTAATATTCAAAAATGAAAAGAGGCGGTAAACTAAGGAAGGTGATGCGGACTGTGTATTAAACACTGACTCTGTGTCCTGGACGGTGATGGAGGCTTTCCACAAAAGATGTAGTTAGTGCAAGTGTGAGGACAGGGCTTGGGAGAACATTCTAATTATATGCTTTTGGGGTTTTTTTTAGATTTATTTATGCATACAAGAACTCGAGTGGAGACCAGAGGTGGGGGTGAGGGGGTGAGAGGATTCCCCAGAGACAGAGTGGGGAACAGAACAGGCGGATCTACCAAAATCCACTGCTGAGGGGAGCAGCAGGGAGACAGGAGAGGTCTGCTGCGCCATGTGGGTAGCTCCCTGGCCTGGGATCAAACTCTTGCTGCAGTGGCTGGCAATAGCGTGATAGCACTGTGTCTTTAACCCCTGCACCACCAGGGAGGTCCTAATTATATGTGTTGATATAAAAGAATTGGCAAAACACTCAGCCAAAAGCAGTGCTGAGTGTGGTGAGAATGAGTATTTACCAGTAACTCCAAAATTTCCACAGCTCAAGGTATCGCATTTTATTCCTGGATGGCAGCATTCAGGAGGCTAGCAGAAGGCCCAGGGAACATTTTGGGTAGAAAGGGTTTAAGAAAGGACTGAAGTATTGTGGAATTGCCGAAGGTCAGGCCTGGTGCAAGGCGGGGTGCTGTGTGTGGCCCCAAACTCTCAGGCAGTGGTTGTCAGAATCTCAGTGGGGAGAGACCTCAGTACCGGGGTTTCGCCATACCCTCTGCCAACGGACTCTACGTTTTAGCTTGACCAGCAGGAACTCTAGGTGCCGAGACAATATCCTGAGAGCAAGGGGGGCTGGGGAGTCCACAGTGAGGAGCAGAGAGGTGATACCATCCCTTCCACCGAGTCCCAACAGACAGCAGCAGGCCCAGCCCCACCCAGCTGAGACCGGCTGGGGGGACACTCCTGGGGAGCTACTTCCCAGGGACCACTTCATGGGCTGGAAAAGGGGACAGTGACACTGTCAAAAAGCAGGAAATGGGGAATTAAAAATAAAATTTCAAACCCACTTTAATATTTAATCAAAAAATATTATTACAACAGAATTACATGCCTGGCACTTCCGTCCTCTTTTCATCCTGAAAACATGTTCTGTTACACCGAAATGGTAGCATTTGCTCAGGACCAGGTGTTGTCTAAGGAGGTCCCACTTTCACTGCCTTTTGCAGGGAGCCAACGTCATCCCGCTGTCACTCACGCGCACCGTCATCCCGCCGGGAATGGCTTCATTGTTCTGGAATCTCTGGAGTCTGTTCTCTTAAAAGGTGGTGAACAAGGCTTTTCAGTCCTTGATGAGACTTCACGTGTTTATTTTGTGAAGACAGAGAAGACATTTTCATATTTCATTACATGACATGTAGTCCTATTTATGTCAGTTTTCACAAATAAGTGTTTCGTCTCTCCCTGGTTTTGGCTAAATAAAGTCTTGGCTTGCGCTATTTGAAAAGGTTTGTCATCAAGATGAAAATAAACAAACGCTTTTCCGAAACAGCTTCGGTTAGCTTGGTTAACCAGGAGATTTCAAGCAGTTTATTTAAGCTACAAACATTATTTAACCTTTATCCCAAAAGCGATTTGATAGAATAGTAAATGAATCATTGTTTACTTCTCTGTCTTTGGCCTAGGATTTCCAAAGTCCTCAGGTAATGATATTTTTCTACCTCGTTAATAACAACTTCTGCTGCATTTATTTTAACAAATGAATAAAAAAATCAGAGAGTGTGTTTATAGTGAGAATCGCCAGCCTAGACAACTTGTCAATAGAATTCTAAATATACCGTCACATCACTATCATTCAGATGCATGTTTTTCTCTTTGCATTGCCAGATCCCCCCACTAACATCACCTGGTACCTACAACATGAGTTCTAATTTATTAATTAGACAAGACAGTGACCTGTCCCCACCTTGGCACTTTTTCATGAGGGCCCTGTTTCTCACATTCTGTATTTTTACAGCAGAAAAAAATGTCGGGCCTTCCTGGTAGTGTAGGGGTTAAAATCTCAGTGCTATCAAGCTGTCAGCAGTCACCGTGGCCTGAGTTCGATCCCTAGGCAGGGAGCTGACGCATACGGCAGAGCAGACCTCTCTGGTCTCGCCCGCTGCTCCCCTCAGCAGTGGATTTCAGTGGCTCCGTCTGTTCTGCTCCCTACTCTGTCTTTGGTAAATCCTCTCCCTCCCACACCCCAATTCTTGTATGCATAAATAAATCAATCTTAAAAAAAAATCATAGAGAGTCACACACAGCGTTTGCTCTCCGTGTTGTTACTGGGTGGAGGTCACTTCTCTGTGTCCATCAAGCTGTCACCTAACAATCTCACCTTGGGGTGGCTGCTGAGTTGGGTGCTGGAGCCTCCCACATGTTTGAGGTCTGAGTGTGTTGAACCAGCATTGCAGTGCTAGTGTGACGCTGCAGTCACACCTGTGGCAGATAATTTTATAGATCATATATTTTCACACGGTTTTCCATCCTAAAATAAGCTTCATGATGTAGACGGCATTACCGTAAAGTTTTAGTGGAGTGTTTTTAAAAGTTCATAAAACCAGAGCATAAGAGCAGCACATTTTCAGATAATTAGAGATTTACGGTGGTGTTATAATTTAATTTCCGCAAAGCAACCTTTCAGGCATGGGATGTTGAAGCGTGTAATTGTGAAACGCAATTTGAAATGCTAAAGGCAAACACGGCAGAGAATTCCAGAAGGGTTGCGGCAGGCACGATCTGAGCTTAAAGGACACTGGGGAAGTGGCACCCTAGGGCATGGGGCACACTGTGCTCGAGGGAGGAAACCTGAGGTGACCCGCATGATATCCATGAATTCCTCAACGTGGAAATGTGGGGCTACACCAAGGTTCATCCCTGATGGCGGTGCCTGCGTGGGTGTGATGTCGGCCCCAGGAGCAGACACCCCGGTGCTGCCAGCGTGATTGGTCCCCACACCGCTGATATACCTGGATATGCTGAAGCACTAATAGCTATTGTGGGTGGGTGATGCCCCCCATTCTCCCTAACACCCCAGAATATGAGAAACAGGGCCCTCGTGAAAAAGTGCCAAGGTGGGGACAGGTCACTGCCCTGTGGGGTCTCACCTGTGCACTGACAACTGCACCATCACTCAGGCCCGGGGAGCAGCAACAATGGGGTTTATTTAACAAACAGGAGATGAGAGAAACGAGAGTCTCCATGGCCACCAGTGGCCAGGTCTCTCGCCCCAGAGGGAGTCCAGGCTCCGGTTGTCCCAAACAAAGGCTGCTCTTCGAGCAAGGTGGTGGTGTTCTGTCAAGTGGGACCTGGAGCGGGTGGCACGTGGTCAGCAGTGGGCTGGGGTCCAACTCATGGTGGCAGCCGGAGGTGCTCACCGGTGGGGCCAGCAAGATGATGCTGCAGCAGCCACAGCAACAGTCTCTAGGTCAGGCTAGACAGCACCAGACACCAGACCGGACAGCCACAGAGACACTAGCAGCAAGAGCAGCTGTCTGGCAGCTCTCAAAGGTGGCCAGACACAGTGAGCTGGTCACCTGTCAGCAGTGCAGGTCAGCACTGGTCAGTGGTGCCAGTCACCTCCAGTTGGCGGTGTCAGAGACACCAGCGTTGCAGCTCTTTTTGAGCCATCGGTGTGAGCCTACACCCAAGCAGCAAGTCAGAACTACAATGAGCTATCACCTCACGCCTGCGAGGGAGTTATTTTCAAAACTATGTAAGATGACAAATGTTGACGAGGACATGGAGAAAAGGGAACCTCCGTGCGCTCCTGGTGGGACTGTTAATTGGTTCAGCCATTGTGGACAACAGTATGGAGGTTGCTCGAAATACTCAAAATGGAGCTAACATGTGTCCCACTGATCGGTCTGCTGGGACAGAGGCAAAGAAGTGAAATCTGCACCTCAAAGAAATATGTGCACCAACGGGTTTCTGCAGCAACTGTCACGATAGACAAGGTGTGGGAACAACCACGTCCACCAGCTGATACCTTCCCCCACAGGGACACGTGTGCACGCATGTGTGTGTTGGAAGTACAGGCTACCATATAATAATGCTACATAGGGCACCACGTGTGTAATATGGCATAATATTCGGCCTTAGGGAAAAGGCGATCTTATCATGTGCAACAACCTGGATGACCCCGGAGGACAAGGTTAAGTGAAAGACGTCAGAAACAGAAAGGAAAACTCTTCATGAACTCACTGACGTGGACTCTGAGAAGCCAGGTGCGCAGCAAGAGCGCCGTGTCTCCAGGCGGCGGGGCAATGCTGGGCGGCTTCATCCTACTCCCAGGAGGGAACCCCCAGCTGGTCATTCTGGGCGACGCCGGGAAATGGAAGGACTGGCCTTGGGCACCTGGTCTGCGCTGCTGCTGGGCCAGCGCACGCGGTGGCCTCAGGGCCGCGCCCAGCCTCCCCCCGCGTGTCTGCGGAGCCTTCCCGGGCCAAGCCCCGCTCGCCCCTCAGGCACCTGCGCGACTAATGCTGGGGACGTTGGCCAGGAGGGGGGTCCTGCTCCCCATGCTGACTCCTCTCCCTGCTACCCGGCCGGCTCGGTGAGCCAACTCGGGGACCTTCCCACTTGAAAAAAGTAGAAAAACAAAGTCACCCCAGTCTGCTCGGTGGCCCAGTGTGAGGCTGGGCAGGAGGACACCCAGTCTGCAACTGAGACTCTAAGAGATTTTCCTCCTTCCACAATGTTTGCGGGTCCTGTGCCCCCCACTTCCCCTCTTCCCTCCCGGGGGCCAGACAGCGCTTTGGGAACTGCGGTGTCCTCGTGTGTTCCAGGGAGGTTCTCAATGCGCTGAGTCTGGAGAAGCCACTGCAGTGGATCCCTCAGAACATGGAACCCCCAGAACATGGAACCCCCAGAACATGGAACCCCCGGCGCTGTGACGCGAGGGCGCCTCTCCTGAGGCATCCTGGTCTCCCCCATCGTTCTCTGACTCTCAGCCTCTGCTCCGGCCGCTGGTCCCCAGTGGCCCCCAGAGCGGGAGACCCAGGCCGGATTCTAGAACGGCCCAAAGGAAGCCGAGCCTGTTCTGTCTCAGCAGGTGCAGCCTGAGCTCCCATCAGCCTGACGACCCAGAAGTAGGGCGGAGACAGACAGAGGGAGATGCCACAGAACACGACCGCGCGCCGGGTCTCCCAAGACGCGTCACTTCGCAACTTCTGTCGAGAACATTAACGGGGAGGTAATTAGCCCTTGTTGTGACTGACGCCGAAGCCAGGATTTCCAGGCTAATCTGCAGAGGGCTTAATCACCCAAGGGTTCGCACCAGCTGCGAAATTATTCACACATGATGAAAAACATTAAAAATATGCAAATAATCAGTCTGTAAACTCCTCCTCATCATCAGGAGAAGGCGTGAAAAATAACAACAAAAAGGAAAACCTCAAGAGTTCAGCCCCAGTCCCACTTGCCGCTGTTAAGAAGTGGGCACAGGGCTTGATCTCACCAGGCCCCCGGGGCAGAGCGGCCACCCGCCAGGGCGTCCCCAGGCCTGACGCGGGCGCGGGTGCTGAGTGTCCGGGGTGAGCATGTCTCCCAAAGAAACCAGCCTGACCACGTCCTCCCTGGGGGCGAGTGGGGTGGGGGGAGGTGGTGGGAAGCAGATGCCTGTGTCTCTGCCAGCTGCAGAGGGTTTTCCGGCCCCGAGGGTCCTGGACAAGTGGGTTAAGCGGCTCACACAGAAGGCAGGAGAGTGTCACTCATCATCCAGCCTGGAGGAGCTTCACAGTGTCCAGGCGGGAGTCTGGTCTCAAGGGACCCACGGTGGGCCTGCTCCGGGGGGGCAGGAGGCCGGGGCGGCATCTACAGGCCCTGCGCTCACCCAGCTCCCAGATCCCAGGCCGGTCAGGGTCTACTTGGTGTCCATGCACCTGCCACCTTGAACCTTCTTTGGGGCTTGGCTCTCTACCGGTTGTGTCCTTGAGGCGAGATCTTTCTCATCATTGTTCCTCAGCTGAAACACGTTCTCCTAGGAGGCACCTTCTCTGGCCGCTTTGGCTAACACCCAGAACATTCTCTCGCAGCTGACGCAGGCTGTGACTCGCCGCCATGGGGTGTGGTTGCTCTGTTATTGCTTCGAGATCCGCGCCTCTCTCCAGCCAGTCTAGTGAAAGCAACTGAACACAAGGACCCGTCCTTGGCTCTCTCATGCTCATGAGAACAATCCCCGGCAGACACGAGGACTCGAGCGCCTGTTCCGAACAAATGGGTGAAGGATCATTTGGTCTGGTTGTGTGAGATGCTGGATCCAGTTCCTGTAGTTCCATGGAGATGTGGCGTCTCCTGCTGTTGCGTTTTAAATGTGCAAATCCCAGCAGCCCTGACGTGGAGGTGCAGAAGGATGAGCAGCCACGAGGAGAAGATGCAAATCACTCTGGCTTCTTATCTGATAAACTTCCAGCACAATCATTTGGCTGGTTTCTGCTGACTGTATTACTGATATATTTTATATTTAATTTCACTGTCTTACATTTTTCCGTTGGCACCTCCTGTTCAATTTTTTAATACATTTTTTCCACTTTTCATTTCTTATCCTTTATTATGAAAAGTGATCTTCTGCTTGCTAAGAACTGGGTACTATTTTTATACTTTTAATAACTAAAAATTATTCAAAGAATTGTGGGATTCTATGCATATTGTTTATAACATTATTTTTTTAACCATCCCTCTAGATGATGCAAAGATTTCCATTTATCCTTTTTCCTACCTTAAAACAATCTTTGACCTATAATATCCAAGACCTCCTTTTATATAGTGCTTATATTTACTCACTGCACACCACTTTGTTCGCTCTGTAATTTTCACCTCTGTCCTTCTGTCTCCCTGGAGTAACTGTCTTACCGTCTGTTTCGTTAGTGTGACTGGGTGAACATTCTCAGTGTAGGTTTATCTGAAAATGTATTGATTTTGTCCTCCTCTATTTTTACTGGACTTGAATTCTAAGTTGGCATTTCCCCCCATATATTATAAACATAATTTCATCAATTTCTGACTTCCATTGTCATTGTGACGATTGCCACCTAATAAGTTAGCTCAAAACTGCCCCAGGAGACATCTGCTTCTATTCATTTTATATGTGCGCTTCATATATTTTGTATATTTTAATATTTTATATATGTAACTTTTCCAAAATGCTATATTTTTTGTTTAAAGGTTTATTTATTTATGCATACAAGCACTGGGGTGCAAGCCAGAGGTGCAGGGGGTGAGAGGACTCACCAGAGACAGAGTGGGGAGCAGAACAGGCAGACTGACTGAAACACACTGCTGAGGGGAGCAGCGGGGAGACAGGAGAGGTCTGCTGCACCATGTGGGTAGCTCCCTGGCTGGGGATCAAACTCAGGCTGCAGTGGCTGTGGACAGCTTCATACAAATTGCACTAAACCTTAATAGAAATGTGCATCAACACACACAGGCAATCATTTCACTGCCACACAACACAGCACAAACTGGAAGCATCTTAAATGGCCTCGCGAAAGGCAATGATGAGGAAGAGTCTTGCACATTCATACAATGAAACCAAGCACTGGGCAGCTGGGTGATCTACCTGTGACAGCATCGCATGGAAATGTGTGTCCCTGGGCGGGGAACACAGGAATCTGCCCAGAAGTCTGCTCACTGAAGACTGAAATTTTTTCTGGGTTATTCAGAAATTTTTACTAAGAATGCATATTTTTAAGTATATTTCAATTCTGGGAGAAAAAATGAGGTTTATGTGACTTACCTATATCAGTAAATAAATCTGAACTCTCGGGGTCGAAAGAGAAAGCAATCTCATACTAAAAATGACCCATTTCCTCCTTTGGGCTATAGTCTAATTTTCTGTCGGCATTCTATTTCTGAACTGCATGAAAGATTTGTGGAATACCATTAGCCGTGGCTGTGGAATTACTATCCTGCTGAACTCTTGTTCTTAACCACTTCTAACTTCTTGGGGAAAAAATAGCTTAAAATCTCAGTTGTTTCTTTGAGTTCTTTCTTGTTTTTTTTTTTTTTTTTTTTTTTAAAGATTTATTTATTTATTTATACATGCACTGGGTACAGTCAGAAGAGCGGGAGGGTGAGAGAATTCACCAGAGCCAGAGCGGGGAGCAGAGCAGGCAGAAGGACCGAAGCACACTGCTGAGGGGAGCAGCGGGCAGCAGGAGGGGTCTGCTGCCATGTGGGACCCTCCTCCGGTGGCCGGGGAGCAGCCGGGGATCGAACCGGCGCTGCAGAGGCCCCGGGCAGCTTCACAACCCAGCGCTCAACCGCTGCGCCACCGGGGAGGCCCTCTTTCTTGTTTTTTGATGTGAGCTTCTATTGCTATATATTTTCCTCTTATTACTGCTTTTGCTGCATCCCATACATTTAGGATATTGGTGTCCTCCTTGTCATTCAATTCAAAGAATTTTTTAATTTCTTCTTTGATCTCCTCGTTAGTCCAGTGGTCTTCCAGTAGTGTGGCTTTTAATCTCCATGAGGTAGGATAGTTCCTTGCCTTCTTTTTATGATTTATTTCTAGTTTGATGCCTTCGTGGTCAGAAAAGATGGTTGGTATGATTTCAATCTTGGTGTATCTGTTGATGTTTGTCTTGTGCCCCAGTATGTGATCGATCCTGGAGAATGATCCGTGTGCGCTTGAGAAAAATGTGTACTCCGTTTTTTTTGGGTTTAGTGTTCTATAGATGTCTGTTAAGCCCAAATGCTCTAGGTCCTTATTTAGAGCTTTAGTTTCTTTACTTATTTTTTGTCTTGTTGATCTATCCATTGTTGATAGTGGTGTGTTGAAGTCTCCCACTACGTATGTGTTTTCTCTGATGTCTGTTTTCAGAGAGGACAACAGTTGTCTGATATATTTTGGTGCTCTTTCGTTTGGTGAGTATATGTTAATGAGTGTTATTTCTTCTTGAAGTGTTGTCCCCTTGATCATAATGTAGTGACCATTGGGGTCTCTTTTTATTTTTTTGAGTTTGAAGTCTGTTTTATCTGATATAAGTATAGCTGTTCCTGCTTTCTTTTTTGGCCCATTTGCTTGTAGGATTGTTTTCCATCCTTTGACTTTGAGCCTATTTTTATCTTTTGTAGCTAAATGTGTTTCCTGGAGACAGCAAAAGGTTGGGTTTTGTTTCTTAATCCAGGCTGCAACTCTGTGTCTTTTTATTGAAGAGTTTAGTCCATTTACATTTAGAGTTAATATTGATATGTTAGCATCTGTATTTGCCATTATGTTTGTCTTTCCTTTGATTTTATTTATTCTTTTAATAACTTTTTTTTTTTTTTTTTGGTCTTCTTTCGTTGTTATTCGTCCCTCTGAGGTTCTGGCTTTAGGATTCCTTGTAGTATTTTTTGGAGTGGGGGTTTATTCGTAATGAAATTCCGGAGTTTCTCTTTGTCTGGGAAGGTCCATATTCTTTCTTCATGGAGGAAAGAGAGCTTTGCGGGATAGAGTATTCTTGGTTGGCATCTGTTTTCTTGGAGTCTGTTGACTATGTCCCTCCACTCTCTCCTTGCCCGTAGTGTTTCTTCAGAGAAGTCTGATGTCAGCCTGATTGGTTTTCCTTTGAATGTTATCTGTTTCTTCCCTCTTGTCAGCTTCATTATTTTTTCCTTGTCCTGGATTCTTGGGAGCTTTACTATTATGTGTCTTGCTGTGCTTTTCCTTTCATCGTGGAAGTTTGGTGTTCTTCTTGCTTCTTGTATATCAATTTTCAGCTCCTTCTTCGCATTTGGGAAGTTCTCTTCAATTATCTCCTGGAATATTTTCTCTGTTCCTACATCTCTCTCCTCTCCTTCTGGGATTCCTATAACTCTTATATTTCCTTTCCTCATGGAGTCAGA